AGATGTTGAGGACCTCTTCGCCCGTGGCGCTATTCAAGTCCTTGTCTGTACCGCGACCCTTGCTTGGGGTGTCAACCTGCCAGCGCATACCGTCATTATCAAAGGCACTTCAGTATACTCTCCAGAGAAAGGTAGCTGGGTTGAGCTCAGCCCCCAAGACGTCCTGCAGATGCTTGGACGTGCCGGGCGTCCACAATACGATACCTATGGCGAGGGCATCATCATCACAACCCAGAACGAGATCCAGTACTACTTGTCGCTCCTCAATCAACAATTACCAATCGAGAGTCAATTCGTCAGTAAGCTCGTAGACAACTTGAACGCCGAGATTGTGCTCGGCAACGTCCGCAGTAGAGACGAGGGTGTCGAATGGCTTGGCTACACCTACTTGTTCGTTCGTATGCTACGTTCGCCCGGCCTCTACCAAGTTGGCGCGGAATACGAAGATGATGAGGCTTTGGAACAAAAACGAGTTGATTTGATTCATTCTGCTGCTTCAGTGCTAAGGAAGTCAAATCTTATCAAATACGATGAGAAGACCGGCAAGCTCCAGTCAACGGAGTTGGGGCGTATCGCTTCCCACTACTACATCACACATGGCTCTATGGAGACTTACAACAACCTGATCCAACCCTCAATCACAACCATTGAGCTGTTCAGAGTATTCTCTCTGAGTGCAGAGTTCAAGTACATCCCCGTGCGTCAGGATGAGAAGCTTGAGCTTGCCAAGTTGTTGGGCAGAGTTCCGATCCCAGTTAAGGAGAGCATCGAGGAGCCTCACGCGAAGATCAACGTGTTGCTGCAAGCCTACATCTCACGACTTAAGTTGGACGGTCTAGCCCTTATGGCTGATATGGTCTACGTCACTCAATCCGCTGGTCGTATTCTCCGCGCCATCTTCGAAATTACCATGAAGAAGGGATGGGCGTCTGTGGCCAAGACCGCCTTGGATCTTTGCAAGATGGCAGAGAAGCGCATGTGGCCAACCATGTCACCACTTCGTCAGTTCCCCAACTGCCCTAGAGACATTGTGCAGAAGTCGGAGAGAATCGAAGTGTCTTGGAGCAACTACTTCGACCTCGACCCTCCTCGAATGGGAGAATTGCTTGGCATGCCCAAGGCCGGCAGAACTGTCTGTGGCTTGGTTGCCAAGTTCCCCAGAGTGGAGGTTCAGGCTCAAGTTCAGCCACTTACGAGATCCATGCTTCGAGTCGAGTTGAGCATCGATCCCAACTTTGAGTGGGATGTCGAAATCCACGGCCCAGCGGAAAGTTTCTGGATCTTCGTCGAGGATTGTGATGGAGAGGATATCCTCTTCAGTGACCAATTCTTGCTGCGCAAGGAGTACGCCGAGTCTGAGTCGAACGAGCACATTGTCGACTTCACCGTGCCGATCACAGAGCCAATGCCCCCGAACTACTTCATCTCAGTTGTGTCTGATCGCTGGATGCATTCCGAAACAAGATTGCCAGTATCATTCCACAAGCTGATTCTTCCCGAGAGGTTTCCTCCCCACACTGAGCTCCTTGAGCTTCAGCCTTTGCCTGTTGCGGCGCTGAAGGCCAAAGAGTATGCCAAATTGTACCCTGACTGGGACCACTTCAACCGCATCCAGACGCAAACTTTCAACTCGCTGTACAACACCGATCAGAATGTGTTCGTGGGTGCGCCGACGGGAAGTGGCAAGACGGTATGCGCAGAGTTTTCTCTACTGCGACACTGGTCTAAGGCAGACGCTGGACGTGTAGTCTACATCGCACCCTTCCAGGAGCTGATCGACTCACGCCTTGATGACTGGCAGAAGAGGCTTGGCGGTCTCCGGGGTGGAAAGACTATCGAGAAGCTCACGGGAGAAACCACTACCGACTTGAAGATTCTGGAGCGTAGCGACCTGATTCTTGCGACTCCCATCCAATGGGATGTATTGTCCCGCCAGTGGAAGCGCAGGAAGAACGTTTCCACTGTCGAGCTTTTCATTGCAGATGAGGTTCATCTGCTCGGAAACAACATGGGATATGTCTACGAGATCATCATTTCGCGGATGCACTACATCCGAACCCAGACTGAGCTTCCAATGAGAATTATCGCGCTTGGTGTTTCCCTTGCCAACGCCCGCGACCTCGGCGAGTGGATCGACGCGAAGAAGCACGATATCTACAACTTCAGCCCGCACGTCCGCCCTGTACCCCTCGAACTTCACATCCAATCTTACACCAACCCTCACTTCCCTTCACTGATGCTGTCTATGGCGAAGCCGACTTACTTGGCCATCACGCAGATGTCCGCTGACAAACCCGCTATTGTGTTTGTTCCGAGTCGGAAGCAAACACGAGCGACCACGCGTGATCTGCTGACAGCCGCCTTCATGGATGATGACGAAGACCGTTTCCTGCACGCTGAGGTGGAGCAGATGCGCCCTCTTCTTGATCGCATTTCCGAAGAAGCACTCGCCGAGTCTCTTTCTCACGGCGTGGGATACTACCACGAGGCTTTGAGTCAGAGCGACAAGCGTATCGTCAAGCACCTGTACGAGCATGGAGCTATTCAGGTGCTTGTTGCTTCTCGTGACGTTTGCTGGGAGCTCAACAGCACTGCCCACCTCGTCATCGTCATGGGCACGCAATATTTCGAGGGTCGCGAGCATCGCTATGTCGATTACTCCCTAAGCGAAGTCTTGCACATGTTCGGCAAGGCACTCCGACCTTCCAAGGACGGGAGAGGCCGGGGCGTTCTTATGCTTCCCTCAGCCAAGAGAGAATTCTACAAGAAGTTTTTGAATGAGGCTCTCCCTGTCGAGTCACATCTCCACAACTACCTTCACGATGCCTTTGTCACCGAGATCAGCACGAAGATGATCGAGTCTGGTGATGATGCCATCAACTGGACGACGTTCACCTACTTCTACAGGCGTCTCCTAGCCAACCCCAGCTTCTACAGCTTGACCAGCACTACGCAGGATGGTCTCAGCGACTACATGTCGGATCTCATCCAGACCACCCTGCAAGAGCTGAGCGACTCCAAGATCATTGAGCTTGACGAGGACGATGGCTCCGTTGCGCCGCAGAACGCGGCCATGATTGCAGCATACTACAACATCTCCTACATCACTATGCAGACGTTCCTCTTGTCTCTGAGCGCCAAGACCAAACTCAAGGGCGTTTTGGAAATTATCACATCGGCTACTGAATTCGAAGCTATCCAGATCAGGAGGCACGAGGAGGGCATTCTCCGCAGGATCTACGACCGTATTCCTGTCAAGATGGCAGAGCCTGTGTATGATTCGGCCCATTTCAAGGCCTTTGTCCTCCTGCAGGCGCATTTCTCGCGAATGCAGCTGCCGATTGATTTGGCCAAGGACCAAGAAGTCATCATTTCCAAGGTTCTCAGTCTCCTGAGTGCAACGGTTGATATTCTCTCATCTGATGGCCACATCAACGCCATGAACGCCATGGAAATGTCGCAGATGGTTGTGCAGGCGATGTGGGATCGCGATAGCCCCTTGAAGCAGATTCCTCACTTTACACCTGAGGTTGTGAAGGTGGCAAACGAATTTGGGTATGTACCAATTTATGCAGTGCTGATTTGCAAAACTAACGTCGAATTTTCTCACAGTGTCAAGGATATCTTCGATTTCATGGAAGCCATGAACCCCGAAGAGAACCCGGATTACGCCAAATTGGTCAAGCGTCTTGGTCTCTCGCAGAAGCAGTTGGGTGAGGCTGCCGCCTTCACCAATGACAAATACCCCGACATTGAGCTTGAACACAGTGTCTTGGATGAGGACGATATCAGAGCCAACGAGCCTGCGTACCTTAGTGTGCAGATCCAACGACAAGTGGAGGAGGAGGAGGAGTTTGACCCGACTGTGCACGCACCGTTCTACCCAGCCAAGAAGTTGGAGAACTGGTGGCTTGTTGTAGGGGAGCAGACGACGAAGAACTTGCTTGCCATCAAGCGTGTCACGATCGGACGGGAGCTGAAGGTGAAGGTGGAGTTTACGGTGCCAACAGCTGGTAAGCACGACCTTAAGCTGTTCCTAATGAGCGACAGTTACGTCGGAGTGGATCAAGAGCGCGAATTTTCCATCACGGCTGCGGAGGGTATGGACGTGGACGACAGCGATGAGGAAGAGGACGAGGAATAGACGGTTCGGCAGATGGCAGAACCATCTCGTCCGTACAATATCGCAATGTGTACTATATCGATCGAGAGAGGAGTTGAGGGTAATAGACAGATTTGGTCACATTCAGTTCTTCGCCCTTATCAGATGAATCATCTACAGGCGGCTCTTGTCCTCTTTCGACAGGGTTGAATGGCCTGAAGACCGGTTGCGCAGACAGTGTGCGGTGCGACAGTAGTTGCGGTGGTGCCTCAGCGGCCAAGGTGGCATAGGAACGCTGAACAACGGTGATTGATAACCTATCTCAAGTGGGAAAGGCGCAACTAAAGTCAACGACGCATCTTGATTTCTTTTTCTTCAATAAACCACAAGAGGCAATGTAACCTGATCGCGGTGTATCTCTGCCGGAGGCGTTCGGCAGGGGTCAAAGTGATATTGAAGTGAAGGAAGCGTGGCTGAGTCGAGGCAGCGAACGTTCGGTGGGCTGGGCATTGACCGGGCCACGTCCACGTTCCCTCTCACAGGCGTCGCGCAACTGAGACTCCGCGATTTAACTCGTCCCTTGGTGGATCAGCGCTAGTCACGTGTCTCCGCCGTCATCCGCGTCCAACTCCAAGAGTTTCTGCGTTCATCTTTTTCCAGGCCATTGCCTTTTTCTGCTACCACAACACGGGGAGCTCCCAATCGCGCCCATCATCCTTCCTGCAGCCAGATTATCTTCTACCATCGTCGCGACAACAAAAAATCACGAACCGCGCGTATCACGACGCGTGTTTCTTCCTTTGACCCATCGCCATTAGTCTTTGGCGTCGCGACTTGCCTATTTACCCCATCCATACCCTTGCAACCCAGCTTCCAAGCTATCGCCACATCACCGACCATGTCTGACGAGCCGACCACCAGCGGTCAATCCGCGCATGCCGCGACTGAGGAGGTGGAGAAGAAGGTTGAAGGAACCTCGCCTGCTGCTGAAGCTTCTGAGGCGCCCGCGACTGCTGCCAGCGACGCGAAACCATCTGAGTCTGAGGCAGCTGCCAAGGAGACCACCGAGGATGCGCAGAAGGACGACTCCAAAAACAAGGATTGTAAGTCCCTTTTCCGTCGCCACTTAACCTTGATATCAGCACTTGCATACTCAATTGACCATCTTGCTGACGCATTGCTTGACAGCAGCTGAGACCAAAGACGCGGAATCATCCGGCAAGACAGACGAACAATCCAAGGACGAGGACGTCGAGATGAAGGACGTGACAGACGGAGCTGAGGCGAAAGAGGCATCTGATGCCGTTGCCAATGATGCTGAGCAAGCGCCTGCTGCTGACGCCGACGCCGCTGATGCGACAGCTGATAAGTCCAAGTCGCGTCGGAGATCGTCCGGTATTCCGGAACACAAGGGCAAAAAGCTTAGCAAGAAGGCATCGAAGGCGAAGTTCTTCAACACCAATGCGCAACCCGGCGATCACTTCCTCGTCAAGCTCAAGGGATACCCTCAATGGCCCGTCATTGTCTGCGACGAGGAAATGCTCCCCGAGACCCTGCTCAAGAGCCGTCCCGTCACCGCGAAGCGTGCCGACGGCACGTATCGCGAAGACTTTGCCGATGGTGGCAAGCGTCAAAATGACCGCACATTCCCCGTCATGTACCTCCGGACGAACGAATTGTAAGTCAATTGATGATACAAGCTCCCAACCCGACCACAAGACGTTCGATGCTAACTCGTGATTGTCCAGCGGTTGGGTACCAAACTCTGCTCTCCAAGAGCTGAACTCCGAAAAGGCGACCGAGCTCCTCACCGACAAAGTCAAGAAGGTCGAGTTGCGCGATGCCTTCGAGCTCGCCATCGAGCAACACCCCCTTGATTACTACAAGGACGAGCTTCAGAAATACCAAGATGAAGTAGCTCAGAAGCAGGCCGCCAAGGATGCCAGAGAGGCCGCAAAGAAGAACAAGAAGAAGACTCCTGCGGTCATTTCGGACGATGATGTCGACATGGCTGATGCTGCGGACGAGGAGGAGGAGGTCCCCGAACCTAAGGAGAAGACCAAGTCCAAGAAGAGAAAGGCGGACGAAGAAGCCATTAGCGTAAGTTACTGGAGACGTAATAGGATTCGTCCTAAAGCTTACTTCCTACAGACCCCGGCACGGACTGATTCTGCCAAGAAGCCTAAGATCAAGCTGAACACATCCTCCACTCCTAAGACGACAAACGGGACAGCTACACCAAAGTCGGCTAAAGAGTCAGCCGCTAAGCCTGCGAAGTCCAAATCGGCCAAGAAGGAGGGTGCTGAGAAGAAGGCGGAGAAGGAAGTTCCTAAGGAGCCTGAGCTCACCGCTGAAGAGAAGCACCAACGCAAGGAGGCAAGTTAAGATCATGACACGGCTCCCAGCCTAGATGCTAACACGGACTACAGAAGGAGGTTCTCTTCTTGCGCCACAAACTTCAGAAGGGCTTGCTTACCAGAGACCAAGAGCCGAAGGAGGAAGAGATGAAGATGATGTCAGACTACATTACTAAGCTTGAGAGCTTCCCAGATCTTGAGGTCTCGATCATTCGGGCGACCAAGATCAACAAGGTCCTCAAGGCTATTCTCAAGCTTGATTCCATCCCCAAAGAGGAGGAATTCAACTTCAAGAGTCGTTCGCAGACGCTCCTTGACAAGTGGACCAAGATTCTCAGTGGTGGTGATGCCGCTGCTGCGTCCGCAACTCCGGCTCCCACCAATGGTGTCAATGGCACCTCCGGAAAGACTGAGGAGAAGAAGGAGACTTCTGCCACTCCTAACGGTGCTAAAGAGGAAAGCAAGGAAGCTGAAAAGCCCGAGGATTCTGAGAAGCAGACCGAAAAGGAGGCAAGTGCGAAGAAGTCCGAGGAGCCTGAAAAGGCAGAAGAAAAGCCCGAAAAGGCCGAGAAGCCCGCTGAAGAGCCCAGTGAGAAGGTGAGTAACAGTGTCTCATGAACATGCTGAGATGAGCTAACCAAATTCGTAGGAGGCATCTGCGGCCCCGGAAACGGATGAGGTTAAGTCTTAGGGAACCCGTTCACGTTCCCAAAAATCTTGAAAGTGAAGACAAGGCCCAGCCGACTGTGGGCGTCTCGGGCCATTTGAGCCTGGGCTCTTGCGTTTCCTGGCGTATACGGTTTCTCTCGAATCGCAAAGCGATCTCAACTTGGTTTCGGTGTAAAATTACTTGTTCCCGTGTTTCTAAGCGGTGCAGCTGGGAATCGTTAGACGACAAGCAACTGCGGCAGTGCTGATCTCAGACGGCATGCATCGTCTTCGTCCAGTGAAGCGGGTTCATTGTACAAAGGGGTGAAGGCGCCCCCAAGGGAGAGGAATCCAGCTCAGAAAGGACAGTCTTGGCATCCACGGATGCTCGCATTGCCTGCGGCGACCGCTTGTTTGGGTTATGATGAGGCAGGTGTAGGATGGCAATGGCCTAAAGTTTTTGAGGTAGAATGAAGCTCGCCTCAGGTCAAGGGTTTGCGATGTTAGGAGGGCGAGGAGACTGGTAGTCACTAGTTCAACACGGCCTTGGAGGATTGATTTAATGTCATTTATATGGAAAACGCCTTGAAAGACGTGCTTGCGTCCCGACGCACTTATCTGCCAATTCCTAGGCATCTAAATGTGCTATGTCCGTGATATTGTCACCACGGGGATAAAGGTATCCCAAGCCTCTACACACTGTGCACACCAGCGTTGCTAAGGGGTAAAGTGCAGTGCTCCACGTCTGCGACACTGTGTAAGTCCGTGCTTTGAAGATGTTGGCGACGCGTGCCAGTCAGAAAAGCGCGACCTCCATTTCAACGACATATCTTCTCACCGCCAACCGCCTATGTCAACCCACAAAATGAGTGTTGAAGATGACCAAGAACCCCAATTTAGGCAGGAAGATCACCAGGTCAGTGGTTCTGCTTCTCACATGTGTAATTGATGCTGATCTCCGTCTACAGGCCGCCTTCATCTTCCGGCCTCCTGGTGAGGAAGCTGGAGTGGATCGACCGGCCAAACGTCGCCGTTTGTCCAACAAGGCTGTCGTCGAAAAGGCGAATATCGCAACCTCGTCCTCGTTTGTGCCTTTATTGAACGGCGAAGAGCTTCCCGAGTGCGTAGCGCTCCGCGAGAAGCAATTCCAAACGAGCTGGGACCATCTTGAGTCCAAAGCCCAGGTAGGTAGAGCATTATGCCCAATTACTAGAATCTTACGCTGAGCACGAAATCTGGTAGGAAAAACTGCGTGATGCCAACTCGGCCACTCTAGATCAAGTGACTGCTTTCATTCGTGACCAGTCTGGTTCACAGTGAGTGAGAACGGCGTGGGGTTGACTTGCACGACTGACGGCACCACAGGAGCAAAATCCCGACTGCTTTTATCATCACCGGCCCAAACATCTCATCTCAAGACCTGCTGTTCGAACAGTTATCCGAAACGCTTGAGGGGAATACGCGAAGCAAGTTTGTCAGGCTCAAGTCATCGGAAGCGTCCAATTTGAAGGCTGCTCTCAAGAAGATCATTGAGGATGCCACGTCTCGGGGATCTCTGGATGACGATCATGTCGAAATTGCATCCGGACAAGATGTGGGTTTACTTTCCTTCAGCTTGAAGAATGCAATATTAAGCTCACAAACATCAGGGCCGGAAGTATCTCAACTACGACCTCGAGGGTCTGTACGCATTCTCAACGGCGCAGAAATGTGATCACATTTTTGTCTCTTTCCAGGATAGCGAAGGATTTGACAGCGCTCTTCTCTCCGATCTGATCATCCTCTTCAAGTAAGTTGCTATCACAGCAGACTTCTGAAGCATACTGACGTTTTGAAACTAGCTCATGGAGGCCCAAGATCCCATTCACACTTTTATTTGGCATCGCAACATCAGTAGAATTGTTGCAAGCGCGATTACTCAAATCCGCGTGCCAACATCTTTACGGTGCTCAGTTCGATGTCGTCCAAACAAGCGCGATTTTGGAACAGATCTTCAAGCCGACTATTGCGGGATCGGATGCTGCTCTGACTTTGGGAGAGAATTTGTTGCATAGTTTCGTGGAAAGACAGCAAGACCAGGTCGCCAGCATTCAGTCTTTTATCGCATCAATTAAGGTAAGGCTTCCAAATGAATGCTGTAGCGGCCGGGCTGACATTTATAGTACGCATATATGTGTCACTTTTATGCAAATCCGTTGAGCGTCTTTGCTGTGGAGGACGATGAAATGAACAGCGAACTTGTCCAGGACGTACATATCGAGTCAATCCGGTCGCTTCCTTCATTTCGGCGCGAGGTTGAAAAGGCCGTTGAAGCGAAGGATCTGAGATTGGCGAGGTCTTTGTTGGAGGATGATGACCTGTTGCGCGAAAAGGTTTTCGACATTCCAGAGAAAAAACGGGAATGGGTCACCCGCCTTCTCCGCTCGCTCAAGCTCATCCAGGCAACGGGTGTCGTTCAAGACGACTTTTCCTCAATGTACATGAAGGCGGTGGCCGAGGGAATTTCCCCTTCGTCCGATGGCTGGGACATTGTTGAAAGCATCAAGCGGATGCAACCGGATGACTTTGTCTCGATGCTGCAACGTGTTCAAGACGCCGTGGCCAGCGGAGATGCCCAGCTGTGTCTCACCGGATGGGAGTCCGAGGCCGGGGACCTCCCTTCTCTTGTAGAAAGCCTTCTCCGCGACTCAAAGGAGCTTCTCGGCAGGGCGCAAGAGGACGGCAGCACTTTGCGGAGCGCCTACAGTGGCCACAGCCGGGTCCTTCGCACCACCGTTGTTGCGCAAAAGGTGCAGCTCAGCCACGATTCGGCAGCCCTTTCCGAAGACGATAAAGCTTTTACTAAAATCGTGGACCGTGTCGCGGAAGTATTCCAAGACGTCATACACTGCGAACCGGCCGCAGAGATTTTCCTGCACGAGACATGGCTCTACGATTCCAAGACACCGTACCGCGACGTTTTCGTACCTCGGCCCCAGGATGTCTTTGAGCGGAGCCTGAAGCGACCGCAAGACTACCTCGCGTGTTCGTGCTGCAGCACCGACGAGGGCATCTCCACGACGATGCCCGTCACGTCGCTGCTCTATCATTTGTATTTGGAGACGGGTAACCTCATCAACGTCGCAGATCTATGGGCCGCCTTCTACGCCATGGTTGCCGGCGATACGGAGAGCGAAGGGAACGCCGATGAGCGGGGGGCGCTGGTGTCCTTTTACCGGGGCCTGGCGGAGCTAAAAGCACTCGGCTTTGTCAAGATGAGCAGGAAGAAGACGGACCACATTGCCAAGCTCAAGTGGCTTTAGGAGCTGAAAGGCTTGTCGACGACGGCCTGGGACTGTGAAACGAGGCCGTGGCGTGAGGTTGCACGTCAGACGCGGAGTCCAGGAGAGATAATTCGGCGTTTGGTGATGTTATTTTTTTGTTCAGTATCAGCAGGCAAAATTGATGCTTTACCTCTACAGACCACTCTGCGAATGATCAAAAAGACGGGTTGTAAGGCTATTTTGGAGGGGGGGACGGGTGTCTCTTTGAAGGAAATTTGTCATTGACATGGTTTTTTTAGGGTCGAGCACAGTGTTTTCGTGTTTGTGTCTGTCTAAACCTCGGACAAGGCTATTGTACGTTGACTTCTTTGTCTAGTAGTCGTCCGGGACACCACGGAACCGACTGCTCAGCCCCCCTTCACAAATCCAAGCTCCGTCCGCAAACCGCTGAAAGCACGGCTGTCCGATTTACCGGTCTTTGGCCGGGCGAGGGACTGTGCTAAGAGTAAGAATTGTAATTGAGGATAAGTCAATGTGTAGGAGGGTAGAGGAAGCATGGCGAGGAGGGAAAACGGAGTGGAATGGGCGGATCTTGTCTCGGAACCTCCATATTCGGGGCGGGCGGAGCTGGCTTCTTGTTGCGGCCGGCACGCGACTCGTTTCTAGGCCGGCCGGACTGGAATTTCTCAGACATTTCATACGCAACGAGAAGCGCGAGCCCACCACCTTGTATCCTTTCCGTCGCTGTGTCTCGCTCCTCCACCCCCTGTCGAGCTGTCACTCACCCGACCCTCTTCCTCCCCGCCCTCCGCCATGTCTCATACTGGATTTTAGGCGTATCGAGCAGATAAAGAGAGTCGGCACACCAAAACCACCTGGACTTGTAAGTCCGAATAGAGAGCGAGAGAGAGAGAGGGAGAAAGCGAGAGAACCGGCAGTCTGGGTAAGGGGGCTTGTTCTTCCCAAGCCCTCTCAGGAGAAAGTAAACGCCGCTTACAACCTCGCCTGACCTTACCCAGGATAGCAAACTCTGGCCGTCAACGGACAAAGCAGTCGTGTCTCGCCTGACGTATTAGTCGCCCTACCGCAGCCCCCCTCCTCCTCGTTTGACTTCGGGTTCCAGTCGGTCGGGTCGCTCTGGTGGAGTAATGCGTGCGAGGAAGTGTGGTCTGGATTTCTGTTGTGACGGTTTCTTTCCCGTCTTTTTTTCACTGTTCCAGCTGCTTGTGGTGGGCCCCCCATTGCCCCATTGATCCATCATCTTTCCCCCTTTGGGGGCGGGGGGTTCTGTTCTTGTTGTTTTTGTCTCTGATCAGGGTTGCTGTTCCGGATCAAAGAAAGCCATATCGAGGAAAAAGGGGGAACGGTGTGATGGGAGGGTTCAATCGGCTAGTGGCCGGGCCCCGTCCCTTTGGGTTCGGTTTGCTCACGAACATACAAGAGAGGCGGTCTTCCGCATCCTCAAGTGTGTATAGATGCTTCAACATCGATCTCTTTCAGATTCCATTACCACAAGTTTCCTATCTCGAGAATCTATAGAAGTCAACAACGTTTTTTTCACACAAACACGTATTACTTTCTAATTCCCTCTCCCGTCTGTGCAGGCATAGATCTAAAGCACAGAGCCTCCTCTTCTATTCTATTCAAAGGAACCAAAAATAAGACGGGGAGAGGACAGCATCAAAGCTGCAAGACGCCACAGTCTGTTCTCACGGAGATCTTCATTTTATATCTCTCAAAACACTTTATTCATCACTCTACTTTTTGCTGAAAACTCATC